ACACAGAGAGAGAGAGAGAGAGAGAGAGAGAGAGAGAGAGAGAGAGAGAGAGACGAAGGCTGGAGACACGAGAGAGAGAGAGAGAGAGAGAGAGAGAGACGCAGGCTCGAGAGTTACTTCGTGTTAGGAAATGCTGATTACTGTCCAAACGACTGAACACCTCTGTTGATGGTACAGATTGGCGCGTGCGCGCGCACGACACACACACACACACACACAGAGAGAGAGAGAGAGAGAGAGAGAGAGAGAGAGAGAGAGAGAGAGAGAGAGAAGAGCAAGCATCAAATCCGAACAAACAACGGGGCCGATCCCCCCGACCGTACCCGTTTCCATATCACCCTGCAGTAATCTTTTTTTTTTTCAGGAAGAACAGTCCAGGGGTGCACCGAGTCACCGACCTGAGACCTGGGGCAAGGTCCCACTTGCACAGATTAAGAGATTCTGGCCGTTGATCTGTGCTATATACGGTCAATATCGCTTAATTCGTGTAAGTGGGACCTAGCCCCTGAACCCATGTCGGGGCTCGCTACACTATGCACCGAGTCACCGACCTCAGCCCTGGACCCTATTTTTTTTCTCCTCTGCCCCTTCTGTACCCCGCTCATCTCTGAAAAGCAGCCTATCACCCCGACAGGTTTCCATTCATCACCCTCCAGAAAATAGACAGGTTTCCATTCATCACCCTCCAGAAAATAATGTAAAATACCTTTACAGAAAAAAATGTAAAATACCTTTAATCTTTGTTCAGGGTGAAAAAATCACCAGTCAGTGGCAGTCATCCACTTCCGTCCCACCACCATTCCCGAGCTAAAAAAAAAGGAGGGCTTGTCCCAATGTCTGGGCTCCATTGGCGTATTATCCACTTTCAGACCAGTGACACTCTCCCAATAGCATTGTCTAAATGTGACTGGCTCGAATTATGGCCAGATGCATCTGCCTCAGACTGACTGTGATCACGTCCAGAGCAGCAGAGCTCCGTTGAAATGGCCGTCGTGGTCACTATGGCCTCGGCTGATCAACCGAACCCTTTTTTTTTTTTTTTTTTTTTTTTTAACAAGTAAACCGAACCCTTTTAATGCAACAAGAACCTATTTAAAAAAGGAAAAAAAAAAAAAGAACGTTCCGCCTCGGTTGAAGCAGTCTAAACTTCGGAAACCTCCAAAAGAAGCCAAAACAAAACCTATCCAAATACAAAAAATGAAAGGTAACTTCATTATGGTAGAATACCAACCAGTTTCAAAACTTCCAGTTCCTATCAGGCTATCAAAGCATAGAGATCTGAGAAAAAGTTGGTTTGTATAGCCACTTTAGTGATACTGGTTTCTGAATTCGAAAAACAGAATCTTTTTTCTGGAAACATAACAATCCCATTATTCCTCCTCGCGAAACCCTTTTAATGCAACAAGAACCTATTTAAAAAAGGGAAAAAAAAAAAAAAAAAAAGTTCCGCCTCGGTTGAAGCAGGCTATCCCCATTATTCCTTCTCGCGAAACCCTTTCAACTTGAATGCAACAAGAACCTATTTAAAAAAGGGAAAAAAATAAATAAATAAAAGTTCCGCCTCGGTTGAAGCAGGCTATCCCCATTATTCCTCCTCGCGAAACCCTTCTAATGCAACAACAACCTATTTAAAAAAGGAAAAAAAAAAAAAAAAAAAAACAGCTCGAAGTTAAAAAAAAAGAAAAGAAAAAAGCTGACGGGTTGACGGCTTTCAAAATCTCACGGCTTTCGATCATCGAAAAGCACGGCTATCTCCCATCGGTATCCCGACATGTGACGTGGCTCATCCGGTTAGATCACCAACCCACCAGGCCTGAACTACAAGCGTATTTTACTATAGGGTAATAAATCCTCCCCCCCCCCCCGCCATCTTACTGCGGTCATCAGGCTAATATATCATCAACCCACAAGCCCCCAGGATAAAAAGCGTATTTTCCGCCCCGGAGGAAGTTTAGGGTAATAATGCCCCCCCCCCACCCCCTGGACATCTTGCGTGGGTCATCAGGCTAATATATCATCAACCGACAAGCCCCCAGGATAAAAAGCGTATTTTACTAGGGTAATTTGCCCTCCAGAGGAAGGAACTGGAGGAAGCAAGAGGGTATTGCTAGGGTAATTCCCCCCCCCCCAGAGGAAGGGAAGGGGGGGGGGAGAGCAAGGGAGGGGAGTGGTAGACCGCCTGTCATCGACATTTGCCCGCGAATTTCTCGTATTCTTTAACGCTCCGTCTGGATGTATGAACGAGAACGGCGGAGTCGTTGACAAACCGCAACTGTTCCTCTGTTTTATTCCTCATCGTGAGAAATTCTGTATGTGGCTCCACATCCAGACCAGAATCATACACGATCACGGACAAGGCAGCCTGGTCATACCGATGGTTCCAGTAGGAAGAATTGGCGGGAGCGATGCATTCTAGATGGCGGGAACAATCGACGAATCGAGGGATGACCAATTGATGAGCTTTCCCGCCACGAACGTACCCCTGCGTGTTGCCGGAATAACTGGGGTGACCCGCAAATTTCTCCCTCGACACGTTGAAGTACCGATACATGCCCGTCTGCACCCACTTATCCATATCGACATCCTGACCCTGAGTAAAGAAGTGGCCATCTTGAAGCAGCAGCCGCTCGATCGTGTTTAATCGACCGTACACAGATGAACCAGCGTCCAACCACAAAACGACGCCGTATCTATTAATAGCATCCTCGATAGCGATGGCTTTCCAGGCGTAGATGGTCCAGATAGTAAAATGTGGTTGGACGAGACCTGAGGGATCGCCCTCATCTCCCGTCCACCGAGCCTCCACGTGGCACCACGTCCTCATTTCAGCAATCATTTCAGGACGAAGTTGCAGGCTGTAGGCAACCACTTTACGACCAGGTTCCAAGTACCTGATGGATCCGACAAGGTTCTTCAACCCCCGCCAGAACTCCACACTAGCTGCGGTCACAACCACCATCTTCCCGCTCGAATCGCTCCCACTCCTCCCCTCCTCTCCTCCTCCTCCTCCTCCTCCTCCTCCTCCTCCTCGCTCGCTTAATCTGCTTTCCTCTCCCACCACCTCTCTTTTTTCTCCTCCTCCTCCTCCTCCTCCTCCTCCTCCTCCTCGTTCGCTTGATCTGCTTTCCTCTCCTACCACCTCTCTTTCTCCTCCTCCTCCTCCTCCTCCTCCTCCTCCTCCTCCTCCTTCTCCTCCTCCTCCTCCTCCTTCTCTTGCTGCTTCTATACCTCCTCCTCCTCCTTGTTCTCTTGGCGTTGCTGCTCTTCCCACCACCAGTCTTTCTGCTCTGGTGTCTGAACCTTTGACCATATCCGTATCAGATCGACGGTTCTCGATCCGTCTGGCTAACGGGTCCTTTGGGCCAGGAGCGCCACCTCTCCTGCTTGTCACTCTAGCACCGACTCTCCCTCCCCATTCTCCTCCTGTTGTCATCTTCGTCCCATTACCACCTCCACCTCCACCTCCTCCTCCTCCTCCTCCTCCTCCTCCATTTTCTTCCCTTCTTACCATCGTCTCACGCAGCTCCTGCAAGTGCCAGTCAGGCCACAACCACGACCGAGTGCCACGTGGACGCTGACTTGTCTCGTCTGGAGACCGCTTGGGCAATACAGATCTTATGGCTGGAATCAGCCAATCACTCCTTGATCTGCCGTCGGACGTCGGGACGGCTATGGAGATCACGGCCATGGCCGCCAGTCCTGCTGCGATGAAGAAGACGAGCACCCACCATCCCTGCCTACGGAAGAAATTGTGATGTCCACGCAGCTGACCCCTGTCTCGACTGGCCGAAATTTGGTACGTGTCATCATCTGAACCCGTGTCCGTAGCAGCACATCCTTGACTCCGGCGACGGCTATATCTCCCCTGATCACTCCCAGCAATCCGCTTTGACGCTAAAGAGGCCATACCGCCCACCGAGCTGAATGTGTGCACGCAATCGTTCAAACGTAGGTATGATTAACTGATTGATTGCCTCGGACTCGATCGCATCGGGTCGGATCGGACCCGATCAGATTCGATCGAACTTGATTGGATTATATCGAACTTGATTGGATTGGATCGGATCGGATCGAACTTGATTGGACGGGATTGAATCGGATGGTATCGGACTACAGTGGACAGAATTGGATGGGATCACCAAAAAAAATGGATGGGATTGGATCGGACTTGATTGGACTTGATTGGATCGGACTTGATTGCATCGGGTCGGATCGGATCTGATAGGATCGGGTCGGATCGGACCCGATCAGATTAGATCGAGCTTGATTGGATTATTAGATCGAGCTTGATTGGATAGGATTGGATCGGATCGTACTTGATTGGACGCGATTGAATCGGATGGTATCGGACTACAGTGGATATAATTGAATGGGATCACAACAAAAATGGACGGGATTGGATCGGACTTGATCGGACTTGATTGGATAGGTCCTGCATTGGATCGGACTTGATTGTGTAGGATTGCCTCGGACTCGATTAGATAGGTCCTTGATTGGATCAGACCTGATTAGATAAGGATGGATCGGATCGGACTNACTCGATTAGATAGGTCCTTGATTGGATCAGACCTGATTAGATAAGGATGGATCGGATCGGACTAGACTTGTCAATGACGGTATATAGGGTCGAATCGGATGGGAACGGATTTCGTCCGACCGGATTCGCATCGGATTGGATTTGACTTGATTGGATCGGATGGGATCGGGTTGAAACCCGTTTGGAAAAGCAAAGGAAAAAAACACAAAAATGATTCGGGCGCGAAGCTGTATGAAAAACAGTTGCTGGAAAGGAGAACCACTCAAACAATTAACTTTTAGTTTCAAAAAGGCGTCTGCTGGACGAAATTCCACAGATCGTATCACCCTTTTCCATAGAGGCTCCCACGCAAAAACTTACTCAAAAACAAAAAAAAATAAAATCTTTCGAAGGCTCGAAAAAAAACAAACAAGGCCGGTAAATTTTCACAAAAATTACAAGCGATTAAAAAAAAGTTATCTATTTTTTATGCTAATCTGCCTGTTCAAAAAGTAGCAGAAAAAACGTATGTGATTTGGTTGGATCGGCTGGGATCGGGTTCGATCGGACTTGATTGCATATTAAAATCGGATTAGTCTAGAACTCGTTTCGATCGGGATTATTGAATCATATTAAAATCAATCGGACTAGTAAATCTCAGTCTCCTTCTTTCATCTCAGTCTCCTCTTTCATTCATTGAATCATCATTGATTTTCTATCCGTTTGCTCCTCTCCCTAATACTTTACCCTCTTCCGTTAGAAACCGTTTGCCAGCCACCGTTACGCCGTTAACGCTCCGCAGTCCGGACTCTTCGCATCAGAGTCCGTCTGTTGGTAATCTCATCGTCTTCCCGGCCGTCGTCTCCATCACTTCCATCACTTCCATCCGTCGTCGGTTGTGCTCGTCTTTTCTTGAATCTTGATGAGATGAGAGATGAGCACGCTGCACGGCAATGAACAGCAGCCGTAGTATCATCAGAATGCAGTTGCCGGATCATTAACACTGCAAAAGGAAAGAATGTGATGGGATCCGACCTCACGTCCGCATTGCAGAAGTTGGGTGGGTGTGCCAGCTCGGCAGTCCCATTGCGCGAGGCCAAGGCAATCTGGAGACAGTGGAGAGTGAAAATTAACACTGCAATCTACTACATCGTTGGGGTGGTGGGTTTTAAAGATGAAGGGCTTCGCCACACCACAGTCGAAAGGCCAAAAAAATCGACGGCTGTCAGAACAAATTCGACAGCCTCCATTCGACAGTTTGCACCCCCTTTTAGCCACACAGCACTGTAGACTCTGTGTAGAGTGCACGCACTTGTGAAAGCAAGATGGAAAGCAAGATGGAACGCACCTGAGGGTACGACAAGCATCAGTCCATCCGGACCTTACCCCCACTCACCAAATTTCGAAGCGTACCAACGAGCCCAGCTCAGTTGGTACACCCGTGAACTGTTGAAATACAGACCCATGTTCAAATCCTGCTTTGGACCTTGATGAATGGAATAAATCATTCTGAATTACCAAGGGCTGGTCCGATCAA